CGGCTTCTGTGGGGTCGCTGGTAAAGGGCGCCAGACGGCGGAGCTCCTCAAACAATTGCAAGTGGTAGATGGCAGCCTCTGCCTCACGGGCAATCTAGGGGAGCAACACCGTCCAGAGGGACGAGAAGGGGACAGAGCTTCGTCAGGAAGGGTGATGGAGGGGAAGAGGTACACGGACAGCTGGTGAAGAGCTTGGCCCTGAAGCTGAAGGTCAAGTGGACGCCAACCACTGAGCAAGAACAGGATCACAGGGACCGTCTGGTCCTTCACCAGGTGCCTGTGACACTCGCTGTCCCTACCTGACTGAAGGACCCTGTGGTCCTGCCCTAGTGTGACCTCCCTGCCTGTACTCCTACTGGTGAGAAAAAAAAAAGGCTCTGAGCCAAGGCCCAAGCACAGGGCTCAACCCTGGTTGTCTTCTGGAGCAGGAGGCTGGCCGTCCTACACCGTGTTACCTGCCCTCAGGGCCCTACCTGCCAGACTCCGTCAGAACTATCAAAGCTGCTGCTAAACATTTATAAGAAGCCTGCACGCTGCCCATGGCCATGGCTTCCATGAGGTCTGTGGAGTGACTGGAGGTTCGCACAAGTTCTTCAAACAGCTTGCGGTGGAACATGGCTGCCTCAGCCTCACGAGCTATCTGTAAGGTTTAGGAGAGGGAGGACAAGGAAGAGGGATGAAGGATGGGGGAAGAGAGACAACACATGGAAAGACACAATGGGGAATTATTCAGAGAGAAGAAAAGGTCACCTTAAGTTAATTGGCTAAATTTGTCCTTCACATAAATGCAAAGAGGCAGAGTAGCGAAAGTGGGACTGCTCAGGGAGGTACACAGAACTTCAAGCCCATCATGGAGGAGAAAACTGATACTTGATTTGAGAAGCTCCATTCTGCATGCATTTTCCGAGCGAGGATGAGGGCACACAGCAATGTGTGGGGAAAGGAGCCAGCACCTTGGCACAAAGACATGCCAGGGCGGGGCCCATGCCACTCCCTGGCAGAGGACTTGCCCACGCTGCCTCATGACACAGCTTACAGGAAGGAACAGGCCCGCCCTCCTCACATGGCTGTCTGGTTACCGCAGGGCTTCCTGCATGGGCCTCCATGCACATGGTGAGCACTTATTTAGCTTCAGGCAGTGATGCACATAAAACCCTCCCCAGTGGGCTGCCACGGAAACTGTAGGAGCAGCCCTGGAAATGGGGCATAAGACAAAGCCACGCAGCTTAACGGCATTCTAAACAGGAGGGTGAAGAATTGGGGCCAACATTGTGAGGAGCACACCAAACAGCCACATGCCAAGGGAGACGCCTGTAGAAGCATGCAGATTAGTTTAATGAGGCATTTCATTGAAGCCTATTGATTAAAATAGTCTTGAAGAGTCTCTCAAGAATGAGAAAGCCACTGAGTTATTTACATTCTACCTGCTCAGGTAACACCAAGAATCAGAGGGGAAAAAAATTAAGCTCTAGAGGGTTATAACACAACAGCTAGCACTTTAGAGAATGATGGACGAGGGCAGAATCAGTAATGCTATCTCATTCCTCTGACAGTAAAGGCAGATGTGGGGCAGGATTAGTTAGAGGATTTCTGTCTGCAAGGATGGGTTGCGTACAGTCTACAGACAGGGGAAAGAAAACAAACAGGAAACAGAACCATACCTGATTCTGCCTAGCGTTTAGCTACGGGCCATTAACTGCATCATGTTTACACACAGGAAAAAACCAGTGTACAGTTAAGAGAGGCAGCTTTAGCCAGTTTTAACTAGACACAGAGAGTCTGAATCACCTGGTAGGGCAGCTGCAGCCTGGCCCAGAACCTACAAGTCCACCTTCTGAGCCAGGGCATGCAAGCCAAGCTTTGACGGTCTCTCTAACGTGTCTAACTGCTAGGGTGTCTAACCACAGGGTATGGTAGAAACAAAGTGCAGCTTAGAGCCTAGAGCCCTGAATCTTCAATCTCTCCTTTATCTGATCTATAGATCTGCCAAGCAATTTTCTCAGAGATACATAAAGATCACCTGGCTGGTTAACGGTTCAAGGCTCAGTACATAAAATCAAGGTCAGCCACCCTCCCACCTCCAGTAACATGAGACCATACAATGGGGCAAGGCAATTAAGAGATTGAGGTGATGGCCTCAAAGTTCTTTCATTGACCCATAAACCCATAAAAGGTGCCATTCTAGAGGTGACTTGAACAAGGTTCAAAGTCTACTGGGACAGAGAAGGCATTTTCCCAGCACTGGGTCAGTCAGGAGAATGAGCCAAGAGTTTCTGAGCATCCAAACAGCAATCACACGGCACCAAGTATGACAGTCAAGGTAAGGGTCAGAAGTTAGACCAGTACCCACTGAGTTCAGATTGGGGAAACCTACTAAGGATACCAAGGAGATAGCATCAGTAAGGTATGAATTCAGTTCAACACTGAATAACACATATATAAAGGAAGAGGAATGGAAGGCTACTAGGAACATTTTACATTTGGAGGGCTTGGTTGGGGAAGGGAAGCACAAGGGGTAGGTACAGAGTCCTTGGCTGACTGGAAACGGAATAGGAAAGTTAAAGAGAAAAGAAGTTTACTGAGCTGTGTCTTTTACTACAATGACACTCATTTTGCCAGGCACAAGTAGTCAGGCAGTGGAACATGCTTGAGTCTTCAGGTGTTCCTGCTCCAGGTCCAGCCAGGATTAACCACCCTCTCACCTGTCTGTACCCGTGGACTTGCTGTCAAGTCATTTACAAGCCCTATTTTTTGGTCTACAAGTAGTTGTGAGTGAAGCAGTCACAACCCAACGGCACAGCAAAGAAGGACCTTTGACAGGCACCATGCAAGGCCAGCTCAGCAAGCCTAATGCAGGCAACAGTGTCTTCTGCAGCCCCACAAAGGCACCTATGTGACATGTGGAGCCTCGGATTGGAAGCCAAAAGCAAATGACATCTAGGGATGATAGGCCATCTTGGGGTTTCTTCCCCCACAACAGAGCAAAGGCATCTGGTACTTTGGATAAACCAGAGGGAAACGGTATGAGGTCATCTTTGACTGCAAAGTATCCCAGGATTTAAGCCAAAGGGAACAAGTCACAGCCTTGAAGTAAGTGACAGCTAAACTCCAAGCAATGCTGTGCAGTGTTCAATGCAGAAGTAAGCCTCTAGAGAGGAAAGAAATAGGGCCACAGTGTGGGTTGGGAAGGCAGAGCAGGAAGAGTTGTCTTCTTGTCTCTACCTCCCCAGCGCACACCTCTTCATTCTCACTGATGCAACTTTGAGGATCATGAAAAGCTGTTGGTGAGAAGCAAAAAAAATCTAGGTGTGCCTGTGCCAGTGCAGGCCTGTATCCACCAGCTAGCCTGAAGCCAGGGTGGGCTGACCAACTCACCAGGTGCTGCATGCGCACAGCCTCCAGCGGGTAGTCGCCTTTGGCCGTCTCACCAGACAGCATGATGCAGTCAGCACCATCCAGGACCGCATTGGCCACATCACTGCCCTCGGCGGGGGTTGGGCGGGGCTTCTTTATCATGCTCTCCAGCATCTGCGTGGCACAGATGACAGGTTTCCCAGCTCGGTTGCATCGCCCACCAATCATCATCTTCTGAGCCAGGAAGACCTTCTCTGTGGGAATCTCAATGCCCAGATCACCACGAGCCACCATGATTCCATCGCTGGCCTCTAGAATCTCATCAAACCTGAACGGGGAGGAAACAGTGGGAGAGAGGTTATACAGAATAAAAGACACGGTGATGGAGAAGCTTTCCTTAGACCCCATCACCACAAATAAATGAAGCTGGGCTACCTTAGGCCTTCTGGCCAAAGTGGGCCAATAGGTCCTGTTAGTATTAACACTTTATTGAGGGGAAGAGGATGAGAGAGAACCTACTTTCTCTTCATCTTACATAAATGTTTTATAGTGTCTCTCTGCCATCTCCACTCCCTAATCAGCACATGCAAGGCAGAAAGGGAACCCAACAGACCACATAACTTTTCATTTATAGCTTATTAAGACGGCAGATCCCCAAAATCTCTTGGTATGAAAGACAACTAGCTATAACAAGAATAAGAGGTCATCACAGTGGGAACACGGTGATGACCCTGAGAGGAGGTCAGAGTTTACAACAGCATCAAACTTTTTTTTCTAGTTGGAAGCCAGAGAAATACAGACTCCACTAAGCTGGCCTGGTCATTTGGCCTTGCCCTATATAGCAATTAAAAGTAGTTCAACCAAATTGGAGAAGAACCTCATCCTTTCCTCTGGGCATCTGAACAGATCACCCAAGTCACTGCTTTTGACATACAGGCAGGAAGCCATAAGCTTTAACAGCATTGACAGGTGAGGGGCATCAGCAAGCCCTTCTGGGCTAGTGACTTACCTTCTAACTCCCTCATGATTCTCGATCTTGCTGATAATCTTGATGTTCTTGCCTTTCTCTCCCAGGACTTTCCTGACTTCGTGGACCTCGGTTGCTTTTCGAATGAAAGATGCAAACACCATATCCACGTCCTGCTCTACCCCAAACTTCAGATCCTGGATGTCCTTTTCTGACACCGCAGGCAGATCCACAGCAGCGCCAGGGAGGTTCACGCCCTTCTTGCTGCCCAGTAAACCACCATTTTCCACCTCGGTCACTAGGAAGTCAGCCCCTGCGCAAAACAAAGTAGGTAGGAGAAAAATGGAAATAAATAAAAGAGAGACTATATCTGCTTGACAGGAAAGAACCAGGAAGCAGGCTGTCCTTATCCTCAGTAGAGGAAACTAGAAAGGCTCTGGAGTTCCAGTCCTAACTATGTAACCTCAGACAAGACAATTAACCACTTTGGGTCTCAGTTTTCCTCTCCTATAAAGAGGGAAAATACTGACTCTTCTCTCTGGGAGAGAAAGGCACTTAAAGATGAGCTATCTTGACCAAAGGTGGGTCGCTACGGGTGGAAACCAACTTGAAAGCAGAGTGTGAGGGTTTTGGTTTGCTCATTCCCGGTGCACTGGAGTAACGTCTGTGTTATGCTGCGGTGTGGAGGATGGAAGCAGGGAGTCAAAACATAGGAAAGAACAAAGAGAAATCCTCACATGCTTTCCAAAGTCAAAGAGCAAGAGAAAATTAGACTAAAGCCCGTTTTTGAGGACAAGTTATAGAATAACTGCTGAGAATATAGACTTAATCTTGGAGACTGACATGCTAACTGCCACAATGGACTCAAATGTGTCAAGAAGTGTGAGGATGGCACAGGATAGGACAGGGTTCAGATCTGTTGTTCATAGGGTTACTATGAGGCCTACTCTACTCGATGGCACCTAACAACAAACTTGGTGATAGCCAACCAAGCTTTCTATCTACTTCAAGTTTTAGAGATGAGAGAGATGGCTTTGGACAATTAGACGTTGATTCTTATACACACCTTTCTGTTTCACCTGCAGAGAAATAAGTCCATCATCCACGTAGATCTTGCTGCCCACTTCCACCACTTTGCAAATGTTCTTGTAGTCCAGCCA